TACAGCTACACCTGCAGCTAAGAAGCGCGGCCGGCCGCCTGGTGCAAAGGATAAGGTACCACGGAAAAAGGCACTTCAGAGGAAAGATAGTACTCAGCCTACGCCTTAGCCTATGCCTCAGCCTACGCCTTAGCCTATGCCTCAGCCTACGCCTCAGCCTATGCCTCAGCCTTAGCCTCATCCTTAAGCATAGAGGCTTAGCCGAGAGGAGCTTTTACATCAGCTTGCAGCGTATGATAAGGAAATCGAGGGGTATATTAATCAAGGTGAAGAGTAGGTGTAGGCGGCGATGCTAGGGGGCCAGGCTTGATGCAAAGGAGCCGTAATAAGGTGAGGTTTTGACAGGTTTAGCATGCTTGTAGGCACGTAGGCACTTCTAGAATAGAACTTCTATTCTATACTTAGAATTAGACTTATACTTATACTACGTGAGCTTGTACGTGAGCTTGTACGTGAAGCTATACGCAAGGCTGTATAAAATGGAGAGGCTATACAGTCTCTCCATTTTACAGCGCATTTTTTCCGATTCGTGTAGCCTTATATACGGCCTCGCGTACAGCATCACGTGTATATAGATGTATAGGTGAATGCCCGGAGGAAGCTCCGCGCTGCTCCGAGCTAATAGGAAGGCGGTGAAACGACTAGGGGGGGAGGGGGTGTGCGAATAGCGAAAAGGGGGTGTGCGTAGAGGAATTAGGGGGTGTGAGATTATCAACGCCCTTGCTAAATTGGCTATTAACAGGCGCAACGCATTATTAACTAGAATAAGCCCTTTTTTCCTAAGCTATAGATATAACCTTAAAGTCCTGGAACTTAATCTAGAACTACCTAAGGTCCTCTTACTACCTGCGCAATTAGGATAAAACCTAGCTTATATGCTAAAAGAAGGAATTAAGCTTACCTAAGTAGTAATAGTCGCAGCCTAGCAAAAATAAGAGAAGTAAGCTAATAGAATTTGTATACCTGCTCTATAACTACAGGTTAGTAATAAGGTATAGCTTAAGCTTAGCAAGTATTAGTTACTTAGTAGACTATCTAAAAAGTTTAACTAGATAAATATTAAGTACACTGTTATAAAGGTTATAGGCTTACATGCTATACGCTTTAATATACCTCCCGGAATAGAACCTATATTTTATATTAACCAACTCTGCTTTACAGCTTAAAATTCCCTTTCTAGCTAAGAAATAGATAATTTATAACCTCCTTCTATTAAAATTAAAGGCAAAATAGAGTATAAAATTAAGGATATTGTCTAAGAATACTATTAAAAAAAAGGAAAAGGCAAGTCCAAAATATATAAAGTTAAGTAGAAGAGGTTTACTTTACCTTATAATATAGATATAGTTAATATAGAGGATATAGAGGCTCTTAATTATTAGAAAGAATTTATAAAAAATGCTTAATTACTAGATAGAATACTACCTAAAAACTTCTATTAAAAAATATAAGTATAAACATTAGCCTATAGCCGTCCAATTCCACTATATTTTCTAAAAAATTTACCGGGAGGAGAGGGGTATTATTACAGGCTACGCCCTGGATATATTCCTCTTCTTATTAACTACCTTATAAAGTAGCTTGTTCCTTATATTAATTTAAACCAACGCAGTGCTAATATATATAGTCTACCCAATTTATACAGCTTGCCGGTTTTATAAACTTAGTATAGAATTAGTTCTATTCTAAGAACTTAAATTCTATACTAAAATTGGCTAGGCCGTTCCATCCTGTCCAATTTATAACACCTTAATTTATCTTTTCTATTCTATATTATCCGTCCTATTTTATAAGCCGTTACTAAAACCTATTCTAAGATTAAACCTCTATTTCTAGGAATCGGCTAGGCTGCCCTACCCTATCCGATTCATTAAACCGTACACTAACACGTGTTCTCACGACCTAGCTGCTTAAACGGCTGCTTAATTGGCTACACATCCGTTCCGTTTCACGTAGCCTTCTACGGAGCCTTCTTTACATTGCGGCATAATAATGCAGCACGGCATTACAATATAAGCACGATAATACAGCACGGCGATACCGTACGAAGGAGGATAGAACGGTTGTATTACTCTTTCGACGATAAGGTATATAGGCAGCGTGTACTCGTAGTTTAGATCTTTAATAAATTCTTCTTATACCTAATACAATCTATTGTTTTAGGCCTACAGCCCTTATATACAACAGTCTTTAAAAGGGGAGGTAAGATTAATTTTAGGTATAAAACGGGGTTGTTATTTTTAATAGGTAGTATTAAAGTTTTAAGTTAAATATAAGGTTTCTATTTATATAAAGGAGCGTTCTTATATATAAAAGCTCTGTTCTAAAAAACCTATCTACTTATTCTGCTTGTAGGGCTTATAGCCTTAAAGTGCCTTAAGTATATTAAGCGCTCTCCCGGCTCTATACTTACTTCTTTTTTAAGCCTAATAAGCTATTATATAACCTCTTTCTTATAATATCCTATTTTTAGATTATTCCTATCTACTAGCAGTCTATAGGGGAATCTAAAATCCCTATATATCTAATATATAACCTTTTTAATCCTATAACTTAATTCTATATAATTACTTTTATCTGCTTACTTATTTCTATAAGTGCCTCTACGCTTAGGTAGTTTATATTAAAGGTTGTAATATATAGGCAGCTGCTGCTGCTGCACCTGCTATAGTAGTACCTCGCCGCCTTAAGCTAGTATAATATTTAGCTAGTTCTCCTGCTATTTTAAGTGCTATTTAAAGTACTTAAGCTATTTAAGGCCTACTTCTATATTACTCCACCCGTTTTCTATAAGGGTAATTTTGCAGTTGCCTAGTAAAGCCCTAGCTTTGTCCTATAGCGCCTATATATACTGCTTGCCCTTAAATACTATAAAAAATAGAATTATATAGCTATTAGTATAAATTAAGTCTATCTAGGTTACCTATTCCCTTAAGCTATTAACTGTTTTAAAGCTATTATAAAAGTTTTAATATATTACTACCCTAGCGCTATAGGTAAGGCCTATTAAAAAGCCTATTTTGTCTATATTCTATATATCCTGGTCCGCAATATTATATATAGCGCGGGCGTTTATATAGCTATTAAAAAAGCGCAGGATTTATTTAGGGTTATTATTTACTAGCGCGTATTTAAGCTTAAGCAACTAGATATAGCAGATGCGCAGCTTATCCTGCTACAGTAGAAATATATATACCCACCGCTTACTAAGCGGATTAAGATATATATACTTAGGCAGAGGGCTAGCCTTTTAGTAGAGTACTTTAGTCGCAATTATACAGATAATATAGTATTAATAAGGGAATTTAGTGCTCGCAAGGTATATATAATAGCGGATAATTAAGGCCTTGCCCTCTAGTATAAGTTAGTATTAATTTAAGTAAGCAAGCTTATATAGTTGGGTTTTGCCGCTTAGGCGGCTGCGGAATATATTTGGGTTGATATTGTGGGCTATTGCATAAGCCTCACGGTTCTAATAAAGGTTCTTCCGCCAGGCAATAATTGCTAACTGTAGGCGCTCTTCTGCATCAGGCGCGCGAGGCCAACGGGGCATGGTGGTTGTTAAATTTGAACGCGTGAAAACGCGTCTAGCATCGCGACTTTATAGTGTATAAGGGCTGGCGATAAGCAAGAGGTTGGTTTTCCTCGCTTAGCAGAGCGCTAACTACGTACGGAAGGTCTATGCACTAGCCTCAATAACTACCTCCACCGCAATAACCCCATCACCTACGTTAGATATAGCCGTATGTTGCACTGCATCGCAAAGTTGCACAATGGCTGTCGTAAGCTGATCACGGTTTAGATGCTGGGCGTTTTGGTTGACTCAGCAACTGAGCTGCCAAAGCCGAGGCCGTAATTGCTATCGATGCACCAATAGCGGAGGGCTATCACGCTAGTCCTGAAACAGTCATCACCATTTGCAATACGCGCCCACCGTATGCTACCAGGTGGCAACAACGTCCGTCCCAAACTCTGCTTCATCGAGACCAGAAAAATAACGCCCCTCGCGCAAGAGTGTGGCCAGAGCGGGTCAGCACCCTCCTTGCTAACGGTGGCAAATTGTAACAAGTTTGAAGCAGCGCTTACACTTCAACAGTATGCTAGCAATAATTAGACATAACAGCGGAAAAGTAAGCAAGTTAGCTGTGGCAAAAGCGAATTGGCCTATCTCTCTGCTAGTGCATTTAATTCGGATATGGTAGCGTTTACTAAGGCCGACCAAATAAAAAAAATGTAGAATATCTTAGTTACAATATAGACAAGCATTTATAATTACTTTTTATATGCATGGCCCTAAAGAGCTACAGATATGCCATTTAAAAAGTCAACCACACCATAACGCTAGAAACCGTAACTACGAAATTCTACACCAAACATTACTCGTCCACTCAATTAGAAAACTCCTCTTCGGAATAAACACAACATATCCCACAAAAACCCGTCATTTCCCTTCCCTGGCTAGAAGCCATGATAGATGCGACTAGGGAGGATGCAGTCGGACGCAGTTGCTGCTCTGTTGAGAGCATCTGTTGAGTCCAGCTAAGGGCTCTATTATCTGACGACACCCCTATCCCTTCAAGCTCAGCAACAAACTCCGGCAAGGCAGCAGTATTTGTACGAATAAGAGTTTGCCGCGATCCACGACGCTCTAGGAACTCATCCATGTCCTGAATCGTCTTGCCCTTAAGAATCACAATCATCTCCATAAAGACAACACCTAGGCTCCAAATATCGGACATTGTGTTTCGAGACTCTTGCAGAGCAACTTCCGGCGCGCAATATCTGCTAGTCATCCAGTTCACCATGCCCATGGTGGTACTGCCGCTTGCATCTGTGAAGTCGAGAGATAAGCCAAAGTCTGTAAACAAGACGTTCCCATGGTGTACAAGAATGTTGCCCGGCTTGATGTCCTTGTGTCGAACTTTCTGCTCATGCAGAAACTCAAGTGCGCTAGCCAGGCAGCCAAAGAAGGTTCGTATCTCATGGTGATGAGATGCAGTAGCGCGTCTTAAATAGGCAGCCAGGTCCATTTCCGCAACAGGAGAGATTATTAGGCCAATGTATCTAGCGTCTGTATAGCTTCCGACAAATTCTACGACGTGGTGGTGATGCTTTAGGCGCTTTAAGATTTGGATCTCGGCGATGAACTGCTGTATACCTTCCTTCCGCCGGTCACTAAAAGCGGAACTTCGAAGTACCCGCTTCCTAGCATACTCCTTGAAGCTGATCTGACTGAGAACTATATCGACTTGGCCAAATCCACCATTGCCTAAGATTCCTTTTGACTCAAGAGGGGGAGATTCCCCTTGCTCGAAATGACGATGCTGCCCATGTTCACCCCTCTCGAGGTCTATCGATTTCGTTAATACTAGACTCTGAGCACCAACGAACGCTGCCCGAACACTTGGCCGTAAACAACCTGGTAAGCGTCGTTCGGTAACAGGAAACCAGTAATCAGAAAAGCCTTCGTCAATGAGATTGTCGAGGCTTTTCAGTTCACCGATAGTCCGAAGAACAATATATGTCCGTGGTACCTTGCTCCATTGTGGATTTGAACGTTTTAACATCATTGATATTTCGCAAATCTCAGAGTCGGTATACAATTTCCGGTTATCCTGTCGCTCTGAGAAAAAGGCGTTTAGTCGGCCAGCTAAGGTATGCTGAGTAGTGGCGTTTGTCAGTAAGAATGGAGAGGACATCAGCCGCAATTTTTCTAACAAGCGTTCGATTGCAAGCGTAAGTTCATGATCTCGACCGAGTGTCCCCTCCCGCCTGTTCGCTGCTTGTTGGAACAGCTCCTCAGCCTCGCCGTACTTCTTCTGAATGTAGAGTGTACATCCTAGCCAGTATTGGCAGTATAGTGTGTCTTCGTGGTCTCGACCGAGTGTCCTCTCCTGCTCGTTCGCTGCTTGTCGGTACAGCTCCTCAGCCTCGCCGTACTTCTTCTGATTGTAGAGACTCAGGTTAAATTGATGTGAACTCTGATTTCTATAGACGTCTAGCTAGTTGTATATATACTAGGGGAAGGAAGGGGGCCACCCCCAGGGTGGCGCGCTAGTAAGTTCAGATGAGCCCTGCACAGCTGAGGCTTCAGCTCGGTTCTCTACAGCTGAGATTTCAGCTGGGTTCTCTACAGCTGATGTTCGGAGAGTAGCTTTCTGGCATATGAGTTGTTGATCCTAGGTTGTAGTGCTGCAACCTGAGTTAGAGTGTACGTGCCGAGTTGGACACCTTTTTCCCAACATCGCTTAATAGACGCTTGGAGGACATTCTGTTCGCCTAATTCGAAGTATGTCCGCCTCCTATTACTCTTGTAGATCGATACGCATATATAGTAATAGAGGTAGCAGGGGAGAAACCGCGTGAGGTTAAATTGCGGCGACGACGGCGTTGCTAGCTTTCGTAAAGCCTAGAGTATATGACGCTTCGAGTACGAAGAGAAGTTGGTGGCCTTAGCAGCTCCCTAGTTCATCTTAGCTTGCTTGAAACTGCCTGAAATTGATATGCGTGCTAGGTTCAAGTCTTGTTCCTATCTGAAAGTCGCTACTAAGTTATGTAAACGTACTAGAAGACTTCGACGGCTCGTGCACGCTGACACCTCGTGCACGGTCTCCTCTTCCCACACCGCCATCTTCAAAAACCCACAACCTCATCAAATTTCCACCAAATTGCCTAAATAATGGCTGGAATTGAAGCTGCACTCGCAGAGCTTTGTCTCAACCCCAACAGGAAGATCCAGGATGTCGCTACTGAGCATGGTGTTAACAGAAGCACCCTTTCTAAGCGCCACCGGGGAAAGACTACTTCCAAAGAGAATAGCTACAATTCTTAACAGCTGCTCAAGCCAGGGCAGACTCGGGCTCTTATTAAGTATATCAATAACCTCTCAGAGCGTGGGCTTCCTCCAACACAAGCTATGGTGCGCAATATAGCTCAAGAGATTGCTGGCAAAAGGCCCGGTGGAAATTGGGTTTCCCGATGGGTCAAACGCAACGAAAAACACCTCAAATCAGCATACCTCAACCCCATTAACAAAGCAAGGAAAAGGGCTAATTCGGCGCTGTATTATAGTATATATTTTAAGATGCTAGGAAGAAAGCTAACAAAGTATAGTGTTCTACCTCAGAACACCTATAATATAGATAAGAAAGGATTTCTTATTAGATATCTTTAAAAAATAAAGAGGGTATTTAGCAGGAAAGCGTACGATTCAGGACAGCTCTCCTATATTATGCAGAATAGCAATAGAAAGTGGATTATAGTAATAGCAGCTATTTGTGGCAACGGAACAGTGCTCTTTCCTGCCCTTATCTATTAAGCTGTTTCTAAAGATATATAAGATATATAGCTCCAGGATTTTAACCCGGATAAACACTTCTGCTTCTTTACATCCTCACCAACAGGATAGACTAATAACAGCCTCGGCTACGCTTGGTTAACTACTGTATTTAACCGAGAGATAAAGGCAAAGGCACGCAATAGAAGAGACTGGTGTCTATTAATTATTAATAGCCACGGCTCTTATATTAATATAAAGTTTATTAAGTATTATAATACTTACAGAATTCTTCTCTGCGTCTATCCTCCTTACTTAACTTACCGGCTACAGCTATTAGACGTCTCTTTCTTTGCACCGCTCGCTTATTACTATTCTAATAAATTAGACGCCTACCTTTATAAAAGTAAGGGCCTATTACACTTTATAAAGAGAGACTTCTTCAGGACCTTCTAAATTGCTAATGCAAAGGCTATAACGCCTAATAATATAGCTAGTAGGTGGAGAAAGACTAGCATTATTCTATAGGATCCTAATATTATTTTAAACCTCTTTAACACTAAGCAGGAACCGGTGCCAGAGGATGCTAAGCGCCTAACTTCTAGCCGGTCTAACGGTGCAGAACTAGGCCCTGGCAATTAGAAGAGTATTAAGAAACGCCTCCGGAAAATAGTAATTAATCTTATTAATTTAAAAGTAGATAATATTAAAAAAAAGGTGCGTGCGCTTGCTTAAGGAGTTACCGAGCTTGCAGTAACTAATATTTTATTAGAAAGCTGTATTAGAGGCTATTAAGAAACTATAAAGAATAAGCAGAAGAAGAGGAAGCGGCAGGTACCTCTCTTTGCATAATTAGGGGCTTAAGAAGGTAGTAGTGCTATATTTTGGTCACCCACTAAGGTGCGCTAAGTAAGAGACCTTCTCTAAGAAAAGGAAGATATAAAGGCACGTAATATAGCTTCTAAGGCAGAGGAGAAGGTATAGAAGTAACTAGCTAAGGAAGAAAAGGAGAGAAATCTAGAGCGGAACCGTAATTAGAGGGCTATCACAAAAAAGCAAAAGAACAATGCAGAGGTTCTTAAAGGGCAACAGATAGAGGAGGCACGTGAGGCACGTGAGGTGGAGCAACAGCTCAAAGCGGGGATGCAGGCAATGCAGCAGAGGCAGAAGGTTAAGAAGGTTGTATTCACTATTCCTGAGGAGCCTACTGTTGAGCAGAATTGTGGTGTTGAAGATGGGGTAGCCAAATCAGCTTCTGGCCGGCCTCAGCGATTGCGCATCACCCCTAAGCGATATGCCAACTCTATAATTACAATAGAATGAAAGAGCGACCCTAGTTGCCTCTCCTCCTTGATTTCTGTGTATAGATCTCGTTGTGTTGTGTTGAAAAGCTTCATGTTGTGAGCCGTGGATTTCTTGGTGAGGCGTGCACGAGGTGTCAGCGTGCACGAGCCGTCGAAGTCTTCTAATGTTACAGGAACAATTCTAAAACCCTTCAACTTGTCGGATGTTCTTAGTGAAGTGTTTAGTCTAGTTCAAGGCGCAAGAGTCGATCTTTCAGTTTAACAGGCGGCAACGCTAGCGCAGCTGAAGGGCTAGGGCGGGGTTTAACTCGGGTATGGAAGTATGTTCTTCCGAGGCTCGCGTACTTCACCCTTACTAACTGTTGCAGTGCATAGTTAAGGGGGCAGCCTAAGCGCTGCTGGCCCGCTTAAGTTACCCCTTTACGTACGCTACCTTGAGCTTGTTGCAATCTGCCAGTAAGGAGGGCGGCCGACCCACTCCGGCCACGCCCTTGTGGGGCTCTAAACTCTGATAGAAGTACTCTTTAGTAAAGTAGTAAATCACGTGCCTCGGTCTGTGGCGTAATCGTGGCTGTAATGCCAAGACTCGCATTCGTACCCCTGCTTGCTAGCCGGAGCAAAGCGGTGTTGTAACAAAGGGCAAAGGTAAAGCCGCATTCGCTAGCGGCTGTACTGTTCCGGAGTCGGATTTTCGTATATTCCGAGCGTCAGCACAACAGGGCTCCGCGCAGCCACAGCCCTGACAGTCATGGGGCTGGAGTGCTGGGCTTACTTAATTACCATAAGTAAATTACACCGTGATAGTTATTTCTGACGTATGGAACTTTCTTGCACTAACCGCTATTAGTGATCGCTTCGGTTGGAGGTACCGATCGACGTGCCATAGCAGCCACAAGGCTGATGACGACTTCCCAGTATAGTAGTAAGGTTCTGAGGCTCGTATAAGGCCCTTTATGGGTACCAGGAGTGATAAGAGCTTGATAGTGGTGCTATGGCGAAGGAATTGTGTTATGCCATGAAAGGAGGCTCTCCGCAAATCAGGCGCGATGGCGACAATGCGACCGTAATTTTTTAGTGGGAGCTGTTCTAAGTGTTTAGAAGTGGCCACGGTACACGACTTACAAAGAACTGTGGGAAATATCAATGTGTGCACAGAGTCTGAGTTGTTTGAAGTCAATGTACCTATTGATTTTCTCGCCACGCCGGGTTTCTCGCCACCCAGGGACGGACCTTAGACACATTAATTTAGCACTGCTTAGGGTACCCCTACGCCTTTTGGAGCTTCGAACCCGATGTAAAGGTTGACGCGGTGCAAATTGGTCTGCCTCTTGACTTTCTGGCGACGTGCTAGCTGGGGCACCTCGTGCAGTGGTGTTGAGTGAGCAATAGTGGAGCTGAACAGTGGCATATCTGTATGCCCAAACTTATGGCATGGTACCGCGAATAAATTTGATATACAAGTACAAGGGGGTAACATGAGCGGGCCAGCAGCGCTCCCTGCTAGCGCTGGGGCTGCTTTAGCCGTATGAAGCATAGCTGTTCGTATTACAAATATGTAGAATCAACCAGAATAGCTAGATCATCATATAAAACAACAAGAGATCCTTGTATCTTGTATCCTAAAAATGCCGAATCTTGTACGCCGGAACCGTGGCCACCATCCCCCTCCTCTGCTTTGTTATCCCGTCCTTCGACAGCCAGGAACACGGCTCTCTGTTCGCGAGCGTGATATTGCGTATACCCTTAAGCACTATGCTGGT